GATAGAAATACTTTTCAGTGGTATTGCTACATTATTGAGAGTGAATGTCAGCAACAGTTTCATGTTGGAAACCTGGGACAGCTTCTGTAATCACAGGGTCTCTATGGAGCCCAAAACAATGCTACAATTGCTTTCAAGAAGCCATGTGCAAAATTTCACATAAATCTTTCTTCTTTTCTTTTATTTCTGTTTGCATTGCACCTTACCTTGGTTAGAATGTGACCTGATTTTTTTTACTAAGTTCATCTGATTTTCTACAACCAAGGTAAGAAGTTTTAGGGCATGTAAATTTCTCAACATTAGCTTTATAATCTGTAAGATGGTGTGCCTTGGCTTGATTAACTTCCCTTTTTTTTTTTTAAGAGTTATTTATTTATTTATTTGAGAGCGATAGAGAGCACAAGTCAGGGAGGGGCAGAGGGAGAGAATCTCCAGCAGACTTCCCCACTGAGAACAGAGTCCAACATGGGGCAGGATCCCAGGACCCTGAGATAGTGACCTGAGCCGAAACCAAGAGTCGGATGCTTAATTGACTGAGCCACCCAGGCACCACAACTTCTCATTTTAAAAATTGGAATCAAGGGTTACCCCAACTTACACACCTAAAATCCTGTGGCTCCCCCCCCGGCCCCATTTCATAGATGAGAAAGTAGAGGGACAGACAAAACCGTTTTACTGGCAGAACTGGCATCCAAACCCACATTTCCATCTACTTTTCAGTACACGTACAGATGGCATACACCCTAAGAATCCTGAGGATAAAGAAACTATCTTTGTGTGTGTGTGTGTGTGTGTGTGTTTATTCTTTTTTTTATTTTATTATGTTAATCACCATACATTACATCATTAGTTTTTGATGTAGTGCTCCATGATTCATTGTTTGTGTATAACACCCAGTGCTCCATGTAGTACATGCCCTCTTTAATTAATACCCATCACCAGGCTAACCCCTCCACCACCCCCTCCCCTCTAGAACCCTCAGTTTGTTTCTCAGAGTCCACAGTCTCTCATGGTTCATCTCCCCCTCCGATTTCCCCACCTTCACTTTTCCCTTCCTACTATGTTCTTTTTTTTTTAACATATAATGTATTATTTGAAAAACTATCTTTTCAGTAGCATTTTTTGAAAACTTTCTGATGTGGCCCATAGTAAAAAAAATACACTTCATGTTGGGATCCAGAACATACATTCACATGCACGAAAGAAGTTTCACAGAACAACTTGCTCTGCATAAGATGCTGATATTTTTCATTCTAGTCAGATCAATTTCATTTTATTAATGCTGTACATGAGCCACGAAATTGATCTGCTTGGGTGAGGAACCACCACTAATAGATCAGAAACCACAGTGATAAACCCTCTTTTTTTTTTTAAGATTTTATTTAGTTTTTGACAGAGAGAGACACAGCAAGAGAGGGAACACAGCAGGGGGAGTGGGAGAGGGAGAAGCAGACTTTCCGCAGAGCAGGGAGCCTGATGCCGGGCTTGATCCCAGGACCCTGGATCATGACAAGAGCCAAAGGCAGACGCTTAACGACTGAGCCACCCAGGCGCCCCGATAAACTCTCTTTTTAAAAGTAAAGCTCATTTTGAAATGAAGACCCAGAGAATATGTGTACTTAGCACATGCAAGATGCTTATCCCATAGCACTTTGCCTCTAAGTACCCTTCATAAGCCTGGGAGAGAGGCAGAGAGAGAGCGAAGAAGGAAACATAAATACCTTTTAGATTTCAAAGGATAAGATATTTTTTCTCTTTTATTTTTTTACATGTGGATAAATATCTCCCAATTTCTCTCCAGTGAGAAATTTTGAAACTGATAACTAGAACAAAGGCCGCATACAGAAAAGCCAATCTGGAATTTTGTATACTGTGTTGGGAGTCGACATTTAAAATTCGTTAATGGGGCAACGCATAGAAGCTTTTCCATTTCTTATAAATGTTATTTCCAGTCACAGCAGGCATAGGAAACAGTTCATCTTCAGCTAGATCGTGAATTTTTATGTAATGAGATGCTGTGAAAAACAAAAATAATACCAATACACAGATAAATATTTGCAGGGTGCCTGAGTATTTTGATAAATAATATCTGCTCCACACATGTTCTTCCTTCCTTTACGGTCTATAAAGCCCCCAGAATGTCTTCCACTCAATCTGTCTTCATGTTACATTGCCCACCCATCCGGAGTTTCCATGCTTCTCTCACTCCATACTGATTACCTTGACACTTTTTCATCTAAAGCTTTGGGTCCTGCTGCTTTTATTTTATTTAAAATCCCCCACCCCGGGGTATTCAGGAAGCTGGTCTCTCTTTTGATTCCCCTATTCAACTGCTGCTACTCGGGGAAGCCTGGAGCTGGAAGCAGAGCATGGCCACCAATGGGATCCTGAGGATGGAATAAAAATCGCTTCCAGTACCTTGGAAGCCAGACTGACTGGCAAGAGAGAGAAATACGTATTTCCTGGTGACAGTTTTTGAGCAGGTGTGTGAGCCTTCACCTGGACACCACACTTCCATTGGCATTTTCAATGCATTCTAATCATTTCTATTTTTTTTATTTATCCAGTTTGAGCTGGGGTTTTCTTTTGCAACTGAAAGACTTTTAAACTGATAGTAATATCACCTTCTTTTGTGCATGTCAACCCACAAAGCCCCTTTCGGCAAGCCCCTCCCCCAATCTCTCTTTACAACGTAAACTTTTCCACATTAAGTGAACTAAAAACTGACTTCCTGCGAATCTGATGAAAATTTTTAATAATAATAAATACAAAAAGAACAATAACACCAACAACAGTGCCTAATATTTAACGAGTGCTTATTAAATAGCAGTGATAAGGCAGCGGTGCTCAGATTTTGCTGCAAATCTTCTTTTCAAAAGCCCTTTTCAAAAATCCACACTACACTTGGAACACCAGAATCTTTGGGGGTAGGAAACAGGCATCATCGGTTTTTAAAGCTCTCCAGGTGATTCCACAAGCAGTCAAATTTGAGAACTCCTCTACTAAAGATTTGCTAATGAATTTTCATTCAGTCCTTATGGCAATGATATAAAGTGCCCATTTATTATTATTATTACTATTATTACTATTATAATTACTGTTATCGTTGCATTATTATGATCACCATGTCGCCCATGAGGACACCTGATGCAACAGAACCCGGGTTTTAAAATACTAACGTCAACAGAAGTTCTTGAACACCAGGACGGAACGGAAGGGAAAGAAGCCAAGAACATGGATAATCCACAGAGAAAGCAATCTTTGGTGGAAAAAATAAAACAAAACAAAACAAAACAGTAAAAGCCAGAGTATTCTGAGTGCCCACCTCTGTCCTTAAGAAAAGTATTTTAGGATCTAATAGTGGTTTATCAGCTGAGCACAGAACAGACGCTGGTTCTGTTCCTTTATCATCATTCAATAGATATATATCCCATGGCATCCATAAATGAAACACTGAACTGATAAGCAGGCTGGGTCCTGCAATGAAGGAGAGAGACAGAAGCCCCAGAGCTGACTTGGCCTCTGATCCTTGCAGACAAAGGGGGTCTGACAGCGTGTAGGCAGCAGTCTTAACCAATATTGATCATGAAATTTCAAGTTAGGCCAATACACCTGCATTCAAAGGCAAACTTTATAACTATGTTATCAAAAAAGTTCTTGGAACTAATAGGCTTCCACGAAACTTGGCTGGAACGCTTTGGGGGGAAGTAGAAAATTTCTTTCCCACACTAAAACTGAACAATTCTGAATCACCAGCGAAGCATTAATAATGACAAGCTTGCTGCAAAATTAAAAGACCAAACAACTGCAATTCTATTATATTACTAAGAGGTGAAGGCAAATAAGAGACTGTTTGCCCATGAAAACACTTAGAGAAACCTTCGCGAAAGTAATTCCGATTTTTGTCTTTTTATTTTTCACATTTTCCTATAGATGGGCTTAATTCCTATAGCAGTAAAGGCAGTATTTGGGTGTTTTTCCACAGCAGAATTTGCCAACAACTATTGCACTGTTACATATCTGAAGAAAAATCATTCTAGGTGATTTTTTTGTCTCTTTCTGCCTCTCCACAGCAACAGATCATTTTTAATGTCAAGGAAGGTATTTTGATTTTTAAAGAATAAAACAAAAGTTGCAGGCAGATACTCAAATAGAAAATCGCTAGTTTTATATCAATTATGGTAAGAGGCAGGAGTTCCCGAATGGCACCTGTATTTCCCTATTTGACAATATTATCTCTGCTAGAAAGGAAGTATTTCGAATACTAAGATTTAAATACAATAAGGAGTAGTTTCCCACTTTCATGACAAGTCAACACACTCTGTTACTAGACTCCACCAGAGAATCTAAGTTAAAAAAAAATGTATGTATGTTCTTTATTCAACATTTTTAAACAATCTTCAAAAAATAAATAAACTGCAAACACTGCTTTGAATAGGTCTGCAGTAAGTTTTTCAAGCGAAAACGAATTGACGGGCCACACAACTGATGCGATCCCAAAGTTCTGCAGATCTTCACTAGTGACATTTATAGGACTTCAGAGCCTTTGGCTTCATGGATGGAATGATGGCAGTTGCAAAGTATTAGAACTACAATTCTAATTATTCTAATTATACTATAATTATTCATCATGTCTAAAGGTTAGTTCATGCATGCATAGGAGGTTCAAGGAAGGTTTCAAGTAATTTCAAGCACATCTTAACTATTGAGAATTACCCAGCAACTCTAGCATTGTGATATATTTTTCAAACAAAACTAAAATTAGAGGACAGACAGCAAGCCCCCATGTCCAACTGCCTATATATTTACTCTCTGTTACCTTCTTTTAACAAAAGTGGGAATGTTTAGGGCATAGAGTCCTTCTGGAAGGACTGGCTGTTTTATTGTGTTTTACAACATCAACAACAGAGAAACTTTTAGTTGGGGCAATTAATTGATACCATGACACAGCTAAACAATCAAAGCAGCATCTGGTGTGGGCACAAGGCTCCACTTCCTACCTTGGGAGCTTTGGCATGCTTCCCACATCTGGCATCCTTGACAAGGCTGAGATCTAACAGCTCCGTCTCCTGGAAAGCAAAAATGTGAAATTGTTAAGCATCCACACAGATCTCTTTTCTTTGTTTTATATCATTGACATCACTTTTTAAAAAATAATGTTCTCTTGAGAACTGCCTGGAGATTTCTCTGCAGTTAGGATATTTTTTTCTCTCACATCATTTACCAATGGAATTGGAATGGAAACAGCAAGATAGCTAACTGCTAACTGTTTGGTTTACTATATGTTCTAAGACATTTTGAAAGTATAATGGGCATGGTTAGGGGCCCCAGTCTATACTATGAGCCATTCCTAAGTCATGATGAACCGGGCCTTCCTGTCCTATAGTTGAAAAAATAATCCTGAAAGTCGGTCTTAGTGTGAGGATATGTGAATGGCATGGGGTTTTGGGGAAGGGGGGGTGGAAGAGGCTCCCATCAGCTCACCTGGCCAAGGGAAAGAGATAAATCTGCCTCACCTACCTGCCCCCTCCCCAGCCTTTAGCACACCTATCTTATGCCCGGTTCTTTTCATTTATTCATTATATATTACTGAACACCTATAAAATGCAAGTTACTCTAGGATACAAGATACATACAATATGATAGCACCTCTGGATGGACCTGCCATCAAACAGGGGAGTAAAGAAATGTATATATATAAGACAAGGGAGAATGTGCTCATGCCAACTAAAGTTAGCTGCTAGGGGGGCCAAAAGAGAAAAGAAAGTTGTTCCCCCAGGGTCCCAGAGAAAATCCATGGAAGAGTCACTGAGCGTGGAGAAGAGGAGTTGGAAGGCATAACATTGGCAAATATCCAGATGAGAAAGGACTAGAGGTTTGGGCAGAACCTTGAGGTATTCACAGCCTTTAGATGTTCAGAGATGGAAAACATTGCGGGGGAGAAAGGGTGGGGAGGAGGACAGGGATAGAGGGGCATCCAGGAGAAAGAAAGAGCACAGGGAAGATGTAATGGCACTGTGGGAAGGGATTCTCATGGGCAACATTCAATGTTCCATTCCTGGGGCACAGAACATATGAAGAAAAGTCATGGGAGATGATACCAGAAGGCGATATAGGTAAAAGGATGGAAACCCTGAGAGTCCATCTTAGAACACTGAGCCATAAGGTTTGTGACACCCACATCACCAAGTTATACAGTAGACCCTACACCAGCGAGATGGAACTGTACTGCAATGAACAGTTATCTTAAAGTGACTCCAGCCATCCATCCAACCCATGCTGACAGCAAGAGAGTTGGATGCAGCCATCCAATCCCTTTCTCCTTGTAAGAGGCACTACATCATTATTCAGCTACTCAGACTCTCTGGACAGGAGTGGGTGTAATTTCTTATAGGTCTTAATGTCCCCAAGTTCTCGTAGCTGGGGTTCCCAGACAATTCCTTCAAACAGCTGCCACCAATTCCAAATGCTCTATGCAAAATGGTCTGATTCATTTCTTCCACCTAAGGTTGATCTCATGAGTACAATATAACAGTCACGGGGAAGGTAGAGTCTGTCTGCTGGGATGCACAACAATCACACAGCAGGTCCAACAACACCTGGCTCTTGCATACCTTCTCTGTGAAGGCAGGTCAAGAAACAGTGCCTTCTTTTCTTTTGCTCGCCCTGGCCATCTAAGTTTGCTTTTCCCCATTTTATAGGATCTCTTGACCCATTTCTTGCCAAGTGTCTGGAAATCCTCCCAAACTCTGGGGTGTGACAGGGAGCCACCCAGCAAAGATCTTGCAGGACAGAACAACTGGTGCCAAAGTTCCCCTAAGGCCATACCATCCACAATACTGAAGGTCACCTCATGAGTGCTGGAAAAGAATGGCATCAGCGCAGGGCTCAATGCCTCACTTAGGGAAATGCATAATAAAGTCCTCAGACTTGAGGAGATGGAACATCTGGTCTGGGTTTCTTATCTCTACAGTAAGACTATCAAAACTTGTGTTGGAAAGACAGACACAAGAAGAGAACCAGGCTTGAAGAAGCTTCATCCAGAAAACCAGAAGCAAGTGGACATTTGAGAGACAGGAGACCAAATGACGCTACCTTCATTAGGTAGGTAACTGGAAGAAAGATGAGAGCCATAATATGGAGGTAGAATTGCCTAAAGGGAAGACAGAAGACATGGATAGCCCTAGGGTTTCCATATTCCAAACTGGGACTTGGAAGTTTGGACAAAATGATGATGCATTTTGGAGATGTTGGTTTGAGGGGTTTATCCAAGTGGAAAAGCCAGTCAGCAATTCCCTGGAGTATTATTTATCAAATGCTGCAACATGTCAGGTACACACTTGGTACTGAGGAATGACACCAAAAATACAGAAAACAGACAACTGTTTTGAGCAGCTCCTTCACAAAGCCAATTATTATACTCTAAAGGAGACATTTCAAAGTACACTGCAGATGTGGGCTATGACATCTTTTCAGCTAATACACAAGGATGAGAAACAGTTTGCCAGCCTTACAATTCTGTGGTTTTGAGGGGGGAGGAGGGTTACAGGAAGAGGAAACAGTAGGTGCAAATGCACAGAGGCAGGAATTGGGTGCAGGAAACTGCAAGTCACTCAAGATACACAACAGGGGTGCATGGAGAGTTATCACAAACACTTCTGGACGCGGTAGACATTACATGTGTGTCCTCTTTATAATTATCCATAAAACACTGACATTTATGCGTAGTATACTTTTCCATATATGTTACATGATGTTTACATATATGCAGGATAGAAATCAGACACACACACATAATACATGCACCTAATTTTATAGCCACATTTCCTTTTCAAAGAAGTTCCTCCCAGTTGAGCAAACAACAGACTTAAACTTCACTTATTTGTTTATACACATAAAACCCAAATTGAGTTCACAAAGAACTAGATCTTAGCAGGAGTCATTATATAGACTTTTACACTACAGATAATGAACACTGTTTTCTACTCTCAACTCAAGAGGAAACATTCATTCCCCAAGTCACAGAGGGGTACTTAATGACAGCTGCCCTGGGGATTCATTCCTATACCACAGCGACTAAGAAACTTCTTTTGCCTGCATGTAAAATTGTGTTTGCAGAAAAACCACCGCAGGGCACTATCAACGTGGGTAATGTGGCATGGGAAAGACCCAGGTGGAAAAGCTGTCTGTGGACTCACTGGAGTAGAAAGCAATGATTAAAATAGTATCTCCCACTTCTATTAACATGCAATAGCCTCCCCTCTGGGGTTTAACGATAGCCCATTTTGTCTCCTCCAATAAAAAGAAAATGCGGAACCCAATGCACAGGACCACAAAAACATTGTTTGTGTCATTAAAACTTCTTCTAGGTTAATTTTCTCAAGTAAATAGTTTGAACAACTCACTCTCATTACTAGAAAGCAGTGAAATGGTCCCTTTCTCGGTTCATTGAAGAGATACTGATTTCCGGCTTTATGGAATTCACTATTCCTTTACTTATTTCTTTAAGAGAGGGAGGTCACATGATGTTTAAGTAGGAAGGGCCCCCCATGGGTTCGAGGAAGGGCCCTAAAATTAACTGATCATATATTCAACCAATCATGGTCCCATACCAAGCATCAACTGTATCATCTATAAAATGAGTATGATAACACTTTCTGTATCAGTGGCTCTCAAACCTTAGCCTGCATTAGAGTCACCTGGAAAACTTAAAACACAGACTGGCTGGGTGCCATCCATCTGTTTCTGGTTCAGCAGAACTGGGATAGGCCTGGGACTCTGCATCTCTCATAATCTCTCAGGGATGTGGGTGCTGCTGGTCCACAGAACACACTTTGACAAGCACTAATATACACTCATTCATGCAGTTAGTATTATAAGGTTTTTTAGGTGAATATGATTGATAAAATTATACATTACTTTATGTTATAATACGTTCTAGGAAGAATCTACAACTGTCATTTCTTTATACAGGAAAGTGTCAAATAAAAATATTTACCTACTGAATGCAAAAGCATGCCTAGTGGTGAATAATCTAGGCTTCAGTTCAGTTTAATTGAAGAAAAACCACTGAATGACAGATGGCATCAACACCGATTCTAATAAGTGTTCTTAGCATTAAATTTCACCCTACACAAGCAAATGTCTCTGTTCACAAATTTAAGCAATCACTGACATTAGTTTATGTTTGCTGAAAATGTTATACTAGATAACCTTTATTTTACACTTAATAACATTAGAGACATCCTTAGAAAAACGAAAGAAGGAAACTGGTTCTCTCTCACCTCTAAACCCATCCAAAAATGGAAAGAGGGTTGGAGTGTCCAGAGGCCTGCAGGCTACCTTGACCAGTAAAAGAAGAATGAACTAATAGACCCCCTTTATTTCCAAGGCACACAATCCCCCCTGCAAAGCTTGGAGACCACACTCCTAGGAACCCTTCCCCATTTATCCAATGAAGTGTTGAAGGATGTGCCTTCTCCCTTTGTCAGTATGGATGAAAGTGAATTAACAGTAATCAAGGATTTATTTTTGATATTTTGAATGAGTGATGAGAAAAGCTAAGGGAAGACCAAATTATCTCTGATGTTTACTATTCAGCAGAAAGATTTCAATCCATCAGCCACAAACCCACTGTGAGGTAGATGAGCCATGAAATGCACTGCAAACTGAGGAAAGAATACAATTTAAAAACCAACTCTTTTCCAGAATACCAATTTCTGTGCATTGTTACCAAATTCCATTAGTCATCCAATATAATAACGTACTTTGAGTTCACACAATATATAATCAGAGCAGCAATTACAAACACTTCACAGGGAAGATATTAACGGCTGGGTGTGTGTGGGGGGTGGTGGTGGGGTGATTGTGGACACCTCCACATATGGTGTATTCATTAAGTTGTTCAACCTCGATTTACCAAAAGTGGAAGACATTAATGTATTGTAATATGACTGTCAAACCTCCCTAAAATGCCCAATGTTAAAGAAAAAAACTATTTTAGAATCCTTTACTGAAGGGTTTTAATTTAAAGAGAAGCAGATTAAGTAGATTCAATTCTTTGTTCCTT